CCAGAGCTGGGCACAGAACTGGTGTCACCTTCCCCTGGCTCCTCAGGGCACTCCTGCCCTCATGGCTCTTCCTCAGAGTATCCCCCAAGGCCATTCCCAGCTGGTTTATCCCACTGGAGCCTGGGAAACCACCACAAAAACAATGAGAGGTGAAAAAAAGCTCGGAAAAGAGCTTGGACCCAGGCCTTGGAGAAGCTCCCCTGAGCAGTGGGGTGTGAGCTGCTCATTCCCACTGGGCTGGGGGTGTCTCTGCCACCTGCCCCAGGGACACCTGAGCCACCTGTCCCATGGACCCACAGCTCTTCCCAGGACTTTGGCCAATGGAGGAGAAGCCTGGGCCGGCAGGGCCGGTCCCAGCTCCGATGGAAGGCAGAGCCCCACCCTTGGGACCGGGATAATGTTTTCCTAAAGCCTGGCCGTGGTTGGCTTTTTGTTTTGCTGAGCTGTTGCTACGCACCTGAGGCTCCGCCGGGGAAGTCGGCTCTGCAGAGGAAACAACCCTGGCAAAAGTCACCAAATCATTGTTCTGGCGCTTTCTGTGTCATGGACAAACACATGAATCTGCACTTGTTTATCGGGGCAGGATTTCACTGGGCTGGTTTGTCTGTTGGACCTGCTGCTCTCAGCGGCAGCACTTAGCCCCAAAAAAACAAAACCAGGAAGAGACTAAGTGTTCCCACACAACTTCCAGCACAATCAGCAGCCCTCCTCGAAAGCGCCTTTGAAACAAGAAATGCGAGAGGGAAAAAACAATTAACGCCAGGGACTTCACTGGGGGGGGGGAAAAAAAAAAAAGACAATTCTTTCATTAATCAGAACCTTATCAGCAGCAAGGTGATATAAAGGGTTTAATTGGAACTGAGCAATGTGTTTGTGCTGCTGTGGAAGCCTTGTCTATGCGAGCAGGAATGTGGCCTGCATCCTGTTTTCCCTGCCACGGGGGAGGAATCCGCTCGGCCATTCCTTGAAAGGCTGCGGCTTGTTTGCCACCAGCTCCACGCTGGGTTCCTGCTCCTCGGCGCCCTTTGTGCTCGCAGGGATCCCAGAGCAGCGGGATGTTTTGGAGGAAGGCAGCAGCCATCCTTCCAGCGGGAGCAGCAGGTGTTCCTCGCCGTCCCTTTGTGCTCCATCCAAGGCCCCCGTGCCCAGCAGGACAATTCCCGAAGTGGGAGATTCCAGATTCCAGGGCTGCTTTGCTCTGTTACCCACCTGGGCCTTTGCAAGGGGCAGCACAGACAAAACTTGGCTTCTGGAGGGGGTTTTGCTCCATCCTGCCCTGGGCAGTGCCTGGAGGTGCTGAGAGCCCCCAGTCCCAGGAAAATCAAGGAAAGATCCTGCAGCCCCTCTGCTCCTCCTCCTGTGAGTGACCTTAGCAGGGCGTGTGGTCACTGCCTTCCACAGCACACGGGGTTCAACCTCTGCCAGCCCCTCAGATCCACCCCAGTGCCTGGAAAAGTCCCCCTGACTGGTCCTGGCTTTCTCCTCTTTCTGCTTCCTGTCACCAATCCCTTTTTAGCACAGGGAGCCCTCACCCTGTGCTGTCTTTAACGCCAGGACACCCAAAACCTGTGAACCCTCTTCCCAGCCTCTCACAAAGGGAATCACACTGATCCCTCCCTCCTGCATTTTGCCAGGACAAACAGCCCCAACCCGAATTCAACACCTTTTTCTGCACCAAAACTCTGCTTGGCTCCGATGGGGATCTGTCCAAACCCCTCAGGACTGTGCTTGGAGCACACAAATATAAAAAATTCTGGCTTCCCCAGGCAGCGGTGGCAATGTCACCCAAGAGCGGCTTGGAAGTGTGGCACAAGCACCCAGCAGAGCAGCCCAGCATAATTAAGCAGCGTTTTTATTCACGTCATCTCCTGGCTTTGGCATGGCTTTTATTACAGTCATTACAAAGACAGATATTACTTTTGGATTGACTCACTTGATGGGTTGATCAGCACTTTATTGTAGCCTCCAGTTATAGCACTTTTTATGGCAGCCAGAAGAACTTAACCATTAGCACACTATTAGGGAGAACACTGGCAACTGATTAAGTTGCTGAAGGTCAAAGACATTTTTCTTAATTGCTCCGCTTGTGCTCCCTCCTCCTCCTCCTCCTGCTGCTGCAACGGAGCTGGAGGGAGAATTATTCCCTTTTAACAACAAAGTCACAGAGCAGCACCTCAGATTTGCCATCAAATCCCTGGGGAGAGGCTCATTCCCCACCCCAGATCTCGGTCTCGCTGCTGGGATGAAAGTGTGAGGATTTTCATGTATGAAAACCAAAAAAGCTGCCAGGGTGACTTAATTGGGCACCACGTGCTGCAGATAATGGGCACACGAGGTCAGAGTGAAAGGAGGTGCCAAGGGGACAGCCCTGCCTGTGGAGGGAGATGGGAGAGGATTTTCCAGCCTCTCTGGGGTCTCTCACAGATCCCAGTTGGGTTTCCCAGCCTCTCTGGGGTCTCTCACAGATCCCAGTTGGGTTTCCCAGCCTCTCTGGGGTCTCTCACAACTCCCAGTTGGGTTTTCAACCTCTCTGGGGTCTCTCACAACTCCCAGTTGGGTTTCCCAGCCTCTCTGGGGTCTCTGAGCTGTGGCTGCTGCCAGAACAGCCCCACCACAGGCAAGATGAGATCCCAGAGTCTGGGAAAGTCTCTCAGATCAGCTTTGTCATTCTGCCCCCTGGAAAGCAGTGCTCGAGGTGTTTCCCCACTGATTCCTGGGGGAAGATGCTCAGCAGGGTGTTCCCACCCTGTTTCCCAGGCGGTGCTTCCAGCATGCTCCAGAGGCACTCAGGAATGACAATTCCCAGCACAGGCTGAGGCAGTGGCACCTCCCTCCCTGTCCCCAGCACAGGGGACAGAGAGTTTCTCCTGTGGGATCCAGGATGTGCTTTCCTGGAGCTCCTTCGTTACCCAGCACAGCTAATTAATGCAGTTTCAAACTCCGTGATCCCTTAATCTGGCTGGATTAAATTTCAGTTTTCTCCTCCAGCTCCTCCCCTCTCCCTGCCCATCTGAGGCGAGAGGCCAAAATCACCAAAAGCCATTTCTGTGGCAAAGCCTACCTGCAGAATCTCCGTGGTCCTGGTGGCCTGTCAGGGTCTCATCCACAGCTTTGGCTGCTCCCTTCAACTTCATCCTATTTTATGTCACATCTGCCCCCAACAAATATTAAAATAAATATTAAAATGGAACAAAGCCCCATAAAAAAAAAAAGTATTGCCCATCCTGATGAGGCCAGAAGTGTCCCACGGTGCAAGAGGGAAGTTTTGCTGCCTGTGAGCCATCAGGGAAGATCTGTTTTTCCAGGAATTCCTGAAAAATGGGAGAGTCACATGCAGGCCACAAGGTGTCCATTTTGGGAATCATCACTAGGGAAAAAGCTGGATCTTATTAAAGATGCCCCATCAGTCATGCTCAGAACTGACTTTGGAAGTTGCCTGATTTCCTGGATTTTCCACTTAAATGAAGTTTTCTTATCCTGCTCTTTCCTGTCACCTGTGAGAATTAATAAAACCCGCCTCCTTCAGCTAATCTTTATCAGCAAACTCAATAACCTCAAGAATAAGCACAGAGCTCCTCTCTTATCCCTTTTCACCCTAATTAAGATGCTCTTAAGCATCTTCTTCCCTTGGGCATTACCTAATTAGGGCTCGTAATTAAAGCTTTGCTCAGAGGTTGGCACCAGCCCAGGCCCCACCTGAGCTCCTGCCAGGCTCAGGTTGTCCCTCAGTCCTTGGTGGCACCGTGGGATGTTGCAGGACACCCCAGCAGGGAGCTTTTGGCACTTTCCAGGATTTCTTTCTCTGCTTCTCGCTGCTGAGTCCAAACTGTCCCCATGGGAACCTCCCTGGAATATTTCCCGTTATTCCTGTGTCCAAATTCCCTCAGTTAATTGATGTTAGGGCACCAAAATCCTCCCAAACCAGCCCCTGTCCCCAGTGATTATTTCAGATTTTCCCTCTTTGCTCCAAGAGCTGGAGAGCATCACCTGTGGTCCCACCTCCCCAGCTGTGGTGTTCCCCTGGTGCCAGGGCCCTCTGGGCATCCCCAACAGGAATATTTTCCCTCTGAGACCAAGGTTCCTTTGGGACTTGAGGAAGGCAAATGAAAACGCAGGGCTGGCTCAGTGGACATCAGAGGGTGGGGAAATCTTTCCTGGGAAATGCACAAAATCCTCATTTCCCTCAGTGACACCACTGGAATCGGCCCCACCCATACACCATGGAAATGAAACCAAAACCAAAACCACTCCAGGCCTGTTCTGGAGTTCAGCTGAGCAGAAGAGGGGAGAATTTCACTGCAGGTATTGTACATACCACACAGGAAATTCACACTGGTTCAAGGTACCTTTTCCCCCCTTTCACCTCTAATTCCAGGTCCTTTTTATCATTAAAGTCCCAGGAGTGATGATTTATTGTCACAGAAACATCTGAGGGAGTCTGGTTTTCACACCAAGCCCTGGGGTGGAGGCTTGGCCATGGGAGAGGCAGCTCAGCCAGGAAAATCAGGGAATAGGAATGGCTGGGGCCCCTCCTGAGCCTTCAGCATCTTCACATCATCCTTTAGATGATGGCTTTTGAGCTGTGCTAATAATAATAATAATAACAACAATAATATAATTAATAATAATTTTAAAAATGATCCCTTCCCAGATCTGAAGGTCTGTCCCTGCCCTGCTGACCCCACAGCCACAGGGGAGGATTGGACTCAGCCATGGGCAAACACCACCAGGATCCCTCAGCGCAGGGATCCAAACTGGTCCCACATCCACAACCACCAGGGGATGACTTCCCTTCCCTGTTCCCAGAGAAATCCAGGAAGAAGGTGTGAAGTTCAGGAATGTTTAAGCCAGCCAGATGGATTCTAGATGGGTTCACTTGGAACTAAAATGTGCCCAGGACCATTCCCAGCCTCCCCATTCCCACTCCTTTTGGCCACCTGGATTCCTTTCACATCACCCACCACCACAGAAGGAAGGAAAGCACCATTGACCGTTCTCATTATTTATTACAAATTACATCTTGAAAATCACTGTCTAAGAAAAAAAATCAATAGATTTAAATAAATATACAGATTTCAGGATGCTACATATGGCAGGTGTGCAATAAGTCACTTCAGGCTGGGACATTACACACACGAGGAGATTGACAGAGTACTTTACAGCAGAAGTTTTATTTTAAATTACTCACATTAAACCATGTGCAAAATTTCCTCTGGAACAAACCCTTTCAGGATTTTCTTCTTTCGGTTTTTTTAGAGTGACTCCAACCTTCAGAAGGTCAAAGATAAAAACAGATTCTCTGCAGCTTTGGGGACCAAATGATTAATCTGCCGTTTGATTCACAATACAATCAATTGGTCTTATTTTTCCCCTCTCCAGGGCTTAAAGCAAAATCAAGGAATTCTTTTTCTTGTCCATTGGGACTACACATGCAACAGCCACAGATTTTGGTCCACCACCAACTTCAAGCAGCCTTTCCAAAGCTCCTGTGCAGTCCTGGCGTGGGCAGCAGAGGACCCAGCAGTGGAGAGCAGCTCTCCACCTGCCCAGGTGCAGCCCTGGGTTCCTGTAGAGCTCTGCCCAGGCAGACAAAAGTGCATTTGTGGCACAGCTCCGGAGCCATGAGGCTGCCCTTGCCTGCAAGGTTGGTTTCTAGGCCCTGGGCTCAGTGGTTTTCCCAAATTTTTCTTTCTCTCCCCTGAGCCAGCAGATCTGGGTTAAAACCCGAGCCTAAGCTCAGACAGGGCTGTGCTCTCTTACAGAATCACGGCGGGGTTTGGGTTGGAATGGACCTTAAAGATCACCCAGCTCCAGCCCTGTTCCCACCAGTCCTTCCCTCCACACCATCCCTACCTGGCTGCCCCTCACCTGATGCATTCCCCACCCAGGTTCCCCTTCCCACGGTGACCTGACACCCCTGGGTGGTCATTTACTGCCCAGAGCCTGACTCAGAGCTGCCCTAAGCCAAGCAGCAAGCCAGGCTTTGCTGCCCTCTCCTCACCACCCCTCTCTGCCCCAGCCCTTCCCTTCAGGCAGAGCTGGGGTATTCAGGAGCTGGAAATCCTCACTGAGGGGATGTCCAAGGAGAAGAGATGGGGTCACAGACCCAGACCAGGCTCAAGCCCTGCTCAAAGCCAGCCCCACAGCAGCCACACCTGGCTTTGCTGCCCTCCCTGGGCTAACTGATCCTCCACCTCAGCCAGGACCTCAGTGGAAATCCACCCCAGTGATTTCTCAGCCAGTGAGCGCCCTTGACTGCTCAGCTGGCTCCAGGTGACGATGAAATAAACTTTTAATACAAACTGAGAGCTGTTCCACCACAGCAGCTTCATCCACAGGCACTGACTGACAGAATAGTGCAAAGGTGGGCTCGGGCTGGGGGCAGCTCTTCCCTGACCACAGTGAGCAGCCAAACCCCTCTGGACGGGGCCAGCTCCGAGGCAGAGCAGCCCAGGCCAGCGATGGGCTGGGTCCAGCACTGCCCAGAGCCCCCCAGTTCACCCACCACACATGGGCTGGGTCCAGCACTGCCCAGAGCCCCCCAGTTCACCCACCACACGTGGGCTGAGCCCCTGCCGAGGCTCCAGGGCAGGGTCTGGCTGGTGCTGCTCCAGCACGACCCTTGCCTGATCCAGAAAGGCACAATTCAGCTCCAGGACACTTCTCTGGCTGTATGGAGAGAGTTTTTCCCTTTACAGCAGTCCCTCGAGTGCCGGATCACGCAGCAGGAGCACGGAGACTTCCACTTCCTTCCGCTCACGGCCTTCCCTTCAGCTCCAACAGCCAGCAGCGGAGCTGGTGGCACCCACAGGACTCCCAATTCTTCTGGTGAGCTTGGTGTGCACCTGCCTCTTATCTCTTCTTCCTCCAGGTGTTTTTTTCCCAGGGCAGAGCCGGTGGCTGTGTGTCCCTCCGGGAGCGCTGCTGGCGGTGGCTGGAGCGCGGGCTGGAGGCCCTGAGGTCCCTGGGAGCAGAAGGGACACCGTGGTCACTCCCCAGCCCATCTGCCCCCTACTCAGTACCCCAAGTTATGGCATTTATCCCCACCCCCACCACAATTTGCTGGGAGACAGGAGATGGGGGAAGGAAGAGCAGGAATTTCTGTCCACAGCTGGATTAAGGCACAGTGGGGCTCCACCAAGCCCAGTGAGGTGGCTGAGGGTTCAAGGATGACCCAAAGTGCTGCTTCCCCAAATCCACCTTTCAGAAAGCGCCCCCACTGCCTCTGATTTAATTGCCACCAATTCATTAATTTGCCTTTTGCTCAGTTCCACTCCTGGGGTTGTTGTTTCTCCCCAAATTCCCTGATGTGGGGTTAGAAAAGCTCTGTCCTTTGTTTGAAGTTGCTGCCCAAGAAATTATCTTCCTAGGTGATGCCATCCCCCTCTCCCTCTTCTGTCCATCTGCCTGTCCCACACCAGAGGAACTCCCCACTCCAACCAAGAACTACATTTTGTGTGGCATTTCTCTGGTTTGGGAAGGGCACACACAGCCCTGGCTCCCTCAGATGGAGCAGAAAGAGCCAAGTCTCCCCGTTTAAAGGGGACAGGAGGAGGCAGGCAGGCGGCAGAAGGTCAGGTCTGAGTGGTAACTGCAGCCTGGAGCCACAATCCCACATTTTCAGAGTGGGTTTAGGTGCCCTGCTCACCTGAGAGCTCTCAGCAGCCCGTGGTGGGGAGGCCTCGTGGCACCGCTCTGCAGAGACCTCGCTGATGCTCCGGAGCTCATGGGGAGCTTCAGACTCTGGAGGTACCTGAAGAGCAAGAGGAGAAGCCTGAGCCACCCAGAGCCAGGCTGCGGGGAGCTCAGGGGGAGCCTGGCCCGGTGACAGACAGCTGAATGCACGGCTTTGAAGGGTTAATTGCAGCTATTTGGGAGCTATTCACCGCTCACTTTGACTGCTGTTCCCTCGGGCCAGAGCTCCTCTATTCACAGGCATATTTAATGATCGGGGATTGCCTGGCTATGGAATTAATGACAGATATCCACAGCGACGTCCCTGCCTTCAGCAGCGCTGCTGAAGCTGAACTGAGACCCCACAGGCACCATCAGCTGAGGTGGCCATGGGACATTTGGCTGCTGAGTCCCAGCTCGGAGCAGCCCTTCTCTGCTCCCCTCTGAGCCGTGCAGGGGACACTGGGGTCCCAAAAACCCACACCCTCACTTGTCCCAGCTCCCACATGCTGCCAGCTCTCCCCTCTGAGCCGTGCAGGGGACACTGGGGTCCCAAAAACCCACACCCTCACTTGTCCCAGCTCCCACATGCTGCCAGCTCTCCCCTCTGAGCGGTGCAGGGGACACTGGTGTCCCAAAGTTCCACACCCTCACTTGTCCCAGATCCCACATGCTGCCAGCTCTCCCCTCTGAGCAGGGGACACTGGGATTCCAAAAATCCACACTCTCACTTGTCCCAGCTCCCACATGCTGCCAGCATTCCCCTTTGAGCCGTGCAGGGGACACTGGTGTCCCAAAGTTCCACACCCTCACTTGTCCCATCCCCACGCCAGCTCCCCGTTCCCACCAGCACACCCAGCCCTTCCCCAGCAGCAGCAGCAGGGATGGAGGTGGAACTGCTGCCTCTCACCCAAAGCACCCCCTGACACCGCCAGGGCTCTCGGGAGGGGAGAAAAAAGCCACCAGACAAATCCCAGCTGCTGGCAAAGAGCCATCCCCAGGGAGCTGGGCAGACCCTGGGGCTCCTGAGCCCGGCCTGCCTCTCACCCCGAGCATCCCCAGCGCTTACCCAGGCCTGCCCTGGCAGAAGGTGGCACAGAAGCTGTCCCTGGAGTGCCGGCACTCGCACCTGCCCGCCGACCTCTTGCGCCGCCTTGGCGGGCTGCCCAAGCCGTAGGGAGCGGTGTGCCTGGGAAACACAAAGGAATTCAGCTATGCCACCAGCTTTTTATTGGCCAACAGGTTTATAACAGGGTCCTGGGAGGCGGCCAAGCCAGTGCCAGGATAATAAAGGCTCATCTATAGACACACGGTGAAAAGGTCACCGATAGGTCTGAGCCTTTAAACTCCAGCTCCTCTCGCAGCTCACCCCTCCCTGTTTGGAGATATCTGTGCTGGCTGGGACGGGCACTTTTCTCTCCTTGCAGCAGCCCAGGTGCCCGTGCCAGGGCTGCCACATGGGCTGCCATGGGTGGCACAGCTCGGCTGGCCCAGCCCAGCTCAGGTGCCAGGGCTCTCCTGCCCTGCGGGTTTAACACAGGGCACCGCACAGCCCGACACGTCTCGGGGCCAGAGCCGGTTCTTGTGCTCACAGCCCGGAGCTGCGAGCACGCTCTGCTGATGGCAATCTCCTCTCCCAGAGGATTGGCAGGGACTGCAGCTACTCCCCGAGCAAGCAGCGAGTTGTAAATGCATGTCAGCGAGCGCGATTATAACCACACCTGAGCGCATGTGTTGTGCTCCAGTGCGATGGCCACGGGTCTGGAAGCGCTGGGAAAGCTGCTCCGGCATTCCTGAGGGCAGCACTTGGCAGTGCCAGCCCTCCGCTGTCTCATTAACAATACTGGCAGGAGGCAGCCGGCGTTACCGGCTGCGAGCGGGGAGAGGAACTTCCCCGACTTGCAGCCACAACATCTCCGTGTTGCTCCGGGCTCGCAGAGGTGCAAACCTCAGGAAAAGCCGAGCCCGGGAGGGAGCAGCGCCCTGTGCTTTCAGCCCGAGCCCTGGAGTTTGGACAAACACCTGAGCAGCAGCAGCAGCACAGTTTGTCCCTTTCTCGGCTGCCCGTGCACCTTGGAGCAGGTGCTGCCAGAGCCCCGCAGCCCCGGGAGCCTTTCCCACCCTGCTCCAGCGGAAGGTACAGCCCCTGCCCATCAGCAGAGCCACCCCGAGCGCCGCGCTCCTGCTCACCCAGGTGTGTTGACCCAGATGATGTCCAGGTGACAGAAGTAGATGCATTCCTTATCCAGCCAGCTGTTGCAGGAACATCGCTTGCTCCTCGGCGGCGCGGCCAGGTGCGACTCGGCCGGGGGATGGCCCAGACCTGCAGCGGCACAAGGAGGGAGGGAGGGAGGGAGGGAGGGATGAGCGGCCGCTCCGTGTCCCCTCCGGTGTCCCCGTGCCGCGGGAGCGCCGGGAGCTCCCCGGAGCGAGGGTCCCGCACCCCCGGGCACCCCAGGACCCCCTCCCAGTGCCAAGGAGGCTCAGGGGATCCCCCCTCCCGTGCGGGCACCCCCGGGGCACCGAGCCCTGCTCCAGCCCGGGGCTCACCGGCTTCCAGCAGGGCGCAGAGGGCGAGCGCCAGCAGCACGCCGGGGTGGCTGCCCATGACCGCGGCTCTGCGCTGCCGGCTTTAGGGCTTCTCCTGGGCTTTTCCTGCTGTCCCGGCTCTTCCAGCCGAGCCGCCGAGCTGCTCTGGAGCCGGCGGGCCCCCGGCAGGTGCTTTATAGCCGCGGCCCGCCGCGTCAGCCGCTCCGCCCCCGGGGAACGCCGGGCTCGCGTGGGGCGGCGCGGAGCCCCCGCTCCTCCCCGCCTCCCTCCGCCTGCCCGGACCCGCGGAGAAAGCGCCGGGCACACCGGGGATGGTGTCCGGGATGCGGGGAGGAGTGAGCCCCGAGGGGTCCCGAGCGCGGCTGGGGATGCGGTGGAGGCAGAGAGAGCAGCGGGGTCTGCGGGCAGAGTCCCCCTGGGAGCCTCCCCGCATCTCCCCCGCCCACGGGGGATGCTTAAAACCGCGCAAAGTGGGCAGGATTCAAGATCAAAGTCAAGTTTTCAGTTGAAATGTCTTAATTTGACTCAGCTTAATGAAAATGTGAATTGATAATGTCGCTTGAAATCTCTGCTCAGTTCATTCAATGACAGTCTTGGCTTTCCCTTTCTTTCCTCTAAATCAACTTTAAAACTTTTCCTACTTGGAGCAATTAAAATTTATTGCAATAAATAAGCCCGAGCACTGTCTAATTTTGCTTCAGCATTCATGTGGCACATTTGCCATTATCTGCAGATTTTTGGGATTGAAATCATGTGAAGCACAGTCTCCTCCTGGCCTGCACCAGGAGGAGTCAAAGCCCTTCACCTTGCCCGTGGTGTGTCAGGCAGAAGGAGGAAATTCCTCCGGGCAAGTGTTGGGTCCTGACCATGCCAGGGATGGATCACAGCTTCCAGGCACCCCGAATTCCTTGGGAACACCGATCCAGCTTGGAATGGCAGCTCCAGGAATGGCAAATCTTGGGCAAATCCTGCGAGTGGTTTAGAAAAGCAAAATCCCCGCGTTTGCCTTTTGCAAGAGGTCCTCAAAAACTTCTTGGGAAAGGGAGTGTATTTTATTTGTTTACCATGAGCAGTTCAGCTTTTTATGGCCCTGTTGTCATGGGCAGATGCAAGGTGGTGGCAATTACAGCCGCACTGAGGTCTCATGCACAGGAACACGTGCACGTGGGAAAAGAAAGGGAAATAAGGAAAAGTGCAGGGAGGGAGAGTGAGGAAAATGGATCCTGAGCCAGAGCTTCTGCTCACAGCAGCTCGTGGAAGTAAAACAGGTGATGACTGCAGTCCTGCAGGCAAAGTCTGGAGGATTTGACATTCTCTTGGTCCAAGCAGCGGTGGGAATCGCTCTCTGTGCTCATGCAAAGTGCACACGGGGGGTGTGTGCAGGGAAAAAACAGTGGGAGCAAAGAAACCGCACAGGAGAGCACAGACATTTACAGAAGGCACAAAGTGAGGGGGCACAGAGGCCAGGGAGGATGAAAAATGTGTGTATGGGCACGCCAGGAAAATAACACAGTAGAGAATGTGCCAGGCAGTGAAAATCAGGCAGAATGCAAATGATAAATTAATAAGAAAATCAAGATAGAGCTCATAAAACAAAGCAAACAGAGGGAAGTGTTTAACCTCTGTACCAGTGCGACAATTATTCTAAAGAAAACAGGGAAACACAAAAGCAGCATTACCTGTTACTGCCCATATTCCAGCTGTGCCAAGTTTCAGAGTTGTGTCAGAGTTGTGTGTGACATTCCAGATGCCAGCCCAGTGATACAATAAATCTGCCTTGGCTGCCGTTCCTGCGCTCCTCATCCAGGCCACTGCGGGCTGAAAGACGATCCCCTGGACGTGGGGAAGGCAACGCAGCCGTGTTTGCTCACCCCGTGGGAAGGCTGGCGAGTAAATGACATCATTTTGTACAAAAAAGGGCGCTGTCTTTGAAGGGGTGCTGCCCGTGAGGAGTTGGTTTGCTGAAGGGATCAGCCCTGTCACACAGAGCCCTCGTGCAAGGAGCCACAGTCTCAAGCTGACCCTAAGATTTGGGCATCTGGGTCCAAGGAATTTCCTCCTCTTTTGTGGCTGGGGCTCTGTCACCCAGCTCACGTTGCCAAGGAGCAGCTGGAGCTCCACGTAGCTGCAATCTGTGTGAGGCTGGAAGTGCCTGCTGCTATCTGCCTGTCATGCCAGGTGCAAAAACACCTTCACAAACCAGGCCTTTCATCCAAAGATTTCTCAACTGTTGTCTTCCTTTGCCATAAATCCCACCAGGCTGAAATCGGAGCAGATGTTACACCCTCGTGCTCATCCCTGCCTGTGGATGGGAGCCTGAATTCCCTTTTTTTCTCCAGGAAAAGCCCTCCTGTGCTGAGCAGGCACCAACCTGAGCAGCACACCTTGGGATGTTTGGCACCAGAGCTTCAAAGATCCCGCAGGACGTGGGGCTAGGGATGAGTGCCGCTGTTTCTCGCAGGGATGTGGGAACCCTGCAGAGACGAGGTGGGGCTGGCACTGAACTGGCTTTGAACTGAGCCAGCTCTGAGAGCTTTGTCCAGAGCTAAAGAGTTCCTGTGGAAAAACAACACTTTAAAAAGTTGTTTTGCCTTTACGGCGCATGAGGGAGAATGCCCAAAGAGGAGGTGGAGCAGCTGCTTCAGCACCAAACACATCCTCACAGGGACTCAGTGATCTTGGAGGTCTTTTCCAACCTTAGTGATTCCGTGGTTCAGTGATTGTTCTGGTGTCTGTGGTGCTTCCAAGAGTACCTGCTTGGTTTAGGTTGAATCATGGAATATTCTGAGCTGGAAGGGACCCACAGGATCATCCAGTGCAGCTCCAGCCCTGCCCAGACCCCCCAACAGCCCCAGCCTGGGCATCCCTGGAGCGCTGTCCAAAGGCTCCTGCAGCTCTGGCAGCCTCGGGGCCGTGCCCATTCCCTGGGGAGCCTGGGCAGTGCCAGCACCTCTGGGGGAAGAACCTTTCCCTAAATGCAGCCTGAGCCTGGCCTGGCCCAGCTCCAGCCATTCCCTGGGTGCTGTCCCTGTCCCAGAGCAGAGATGGGAGCTGCAGATCCCTGAGCTCTGCCCTCGCTGTGCTCTGCTCCAGCTGGACACTCCAAGTGCCCTCAGCTGCTCCTCCTGTGGCCCCTCCTGACCCTTCAGCATCTCTGGTGATACATTTAGATCTCATGTTTTGGTGTCCCACACCCACAGATGTTCGATCCCCTCGTGCTGTGGGCTGGGGGATCAGCCCTCTCTGGGAGCCGTGGTTCTCCTTGACCTCCAGAGCACGGAGAACCTGCACAGCTCCTGCCACTGTCCCCGCTGTTCCCCTGATAAGGATCACGGCCAGCTTCCCGAGGCCAACCCTCCTGGCACTATCACCAAACTAAAATCACAAAGAAAAACAACAGGGCTGGAGCAGGGCCGGGCGTGCTGCACAAACACGGCTCCCAAAGAAGGAACAAAGGCGTGCACGGGGTCCTAAATGCCAAAGATGGGCTTTGCCTCCCGCGGTTATTTTTTCCCTTTTGTTTCTGACTGCGGGAGCACATTGTTCATGTCACTGTGAGGAGTTCCAGGCAGACATGACGAAAGGGACAAACCAGCCCAAGACAGGAGACATCCCATGCGGCCCTCACGAGCGGCACTGTTTGGAAACAAGGAGTGAGCAAACAGGAAAGGCCTTTAACCATTGAGCAGTCGGGATCTCAGCGTGCTCTTGGCACCAGCAGGAACAATGGGGTGATGTCACGAGCCAGAATTCCCCATGGTGGATGGCAGCCCAGCAAATAATCATAATTCTTGTCCCGGGACATGAGCAACATTTTTCCAGCGTTGGTCATCCCCCACGGAGCCGCTGTGAGGAAATGCAGGAAAGAGACATTGTCAAGTGAGGCTTCCTTTGGGATTTTCACTGCTCCCCCTGCCCTCCCCAGCTCAGCACATCAGCTGTAATAAATCACAGCTCGCTGCTGGCGGGGAGGATCTCAGTGAGGTTCAGGGAGGCTGAAGGAGATGTCTCACACACTGAAAACAGGGTGAGCACCACGGTCTGGATACTTGCAAGGCAAAGGGGCAGAGTTTCCTCAGCTCTGTGAGGCTTTGAGCTGACAAAGAGCGAATCTGGAGCGTTGTCCATGGGTTTCCAAAGGTGCTGAGGATGGCCAGGGGCTCAGGAGAGAGTTCTGCACAAACAGTGGTGGCTGGGGAATTTCAACAAATTTTTTTCAATAATTTCAACAATTTTTTAACAGTTTTTATTAATTGTTATTTTTTAAGGCTACTAAACAACAAGAACAATACAAAGGAATCCTCCAGATCCCAGCTTCTCCTTATTTTGGCTTAAAGCCAGCTCTGTGGAGAATATCCTGAAGTTCATTTGCAGCATCCAGGCCTCTCCTGAGGCAGCTCTTGAATTCCCTTTTGGCTCCTTTCTCTTGATGGGAACTGGTGCCATGGGAGGACTGTCAGAGCTGGGCCACCCTCAGGGCTTGGGCTGGCTTTGTTCTTGGGCTGTTACTGAAAATCCAGACTCACCTCTCCAAGATTTTCTCTGCAAGGTCCCACTTGGTTTCCCTGCAGCCACCCCAGCTCTGTCCCTTCTGCACTGTCCCAGGGGAGGTGGCGCTTGCTGGAGCTGAACATGGGATTTCAGCAGCAAAAGTAACCCAGTGAGTCCCAGCCAGTCCTGAAATGCAGCCCTGAGGAGAGAAACACAAAGCCATGCATGTGTGTGTGTGGCTGGCTGACAGATCTGTCCTGTGTTTGTGGCTGTCCGGACACACCCCCAAGGGCTCTTTGTTGTGGTCACAGTGGGATCTCCACATGTTTTCCCCTCCTGAGGCTCCCAGGGAACCCCAGGGTCCCTCTCAGGGCTGGGCAGAGGCAGCCTGGCCCCAGGCATTGGCTCTGCTGCCTCTGCCCACCCCACAAACACGAGGGGTCTCTGCTGCACCTGAAGGTGAAGGTGTCCCCAGGGCAGAAGGTGGGGGTCACACAGGGAGAGGAAGATCCTGGGATGTGCTGGCTCCATCCTTCCCAGGGAGGTGGGAAGGGGCAGGTGGCCTTGGCAAGGACCGCTTGTGACATCCAGGAAGGTCAGGCTGTGACCTGTCCCCATGGCAGGCCACTGTGCCAAG